GGGAGAGGGAGAAGCAGGCTTCCCGCCGAGCAGGGAGCCCGATGCGGGGCTCGATCCCAGGACCCTGGGATCATGACCTGAGCCGAAGGCAGATGCCTAATGACTGAGCCAGCCAGGCGCACCCTCTTCTTTGGTTTTTAATGTAGAGAATTAATTTATAGACAATGTATGGAAAACTTGATTAACATTAGAGAACAGAATATAAATGTTATAAACTCTGCCAGTGAGAAGTAAGGCCCTTGAGAGGTGTGAGTGGAGAGGACAGAAAGACAAAGGGAAGTAAGTGAAGGGTGTTGAGTCTTTCCCTTTACCCAACAGAAAGTTAAGAGATACTGTGTGTGGGGTTGGGGAGCTGGGCAGGGCAAGTAGGGGCGAGGGGAGTTTGGGAAGGGTAAGACACTGAGCCCAGGAGCAGAGGGATGAGGGGTAACTGGGCTGGGACGTTTAGTGAGGCCGGCAAGGAATGGCAGGCAACGTGTGCGAAACTGGGGGAGAGCAAAAGAGGCTGAGCGGAAGTAGGGGAGGTATGGGCGGAGCATAGCAGGTTATTGAGAGGAAGGGGCGGGGCGGGGGCGGAGATGAGCAGGGGGAGGGGAGCTGACGCCTTCTGCGTCCAGGGCGCCTGCGCAAACTAGTCGTCTGCTAGCTCGCGCCATCGTGCCTCGCCGTGCCTCGCCTCGCCTCGCCTCGCCTCGCCTCGCGCGTGCTGTCCTGTCGGCCTCGCTTCGCTTCGCCTCAGCGGAAGCCATGCCCCGCCTGCTCGTTCTTTGTCTGGTTCCCCGCCGCCGCGTGATCCCGATGGGACTGCAACCCGGCCGCCGCCTGACCCGCTTGGAGCCCCGCCGCCGCCAGGGCCCCAAGTTGTCCGTGGTGAGTGGGGGCCCACGCCTCAGGGCGGCGCGGAGCGGGGCGGGGTGGGGGTGGGGGGAAGGGCGCGCGGCTGAGGCGGGAGCTCCTCGACGGGCGGGGACAGGGTGGGGGCCCGCGCCTCGTGTGGTGGGGTCGGTGCCGGGCGGCCTTTGAGGGTCCGGGGAGGCTGCCTCCGGGGCGCGAAGGGCGAGGGCAGAGCCGTCGCCAACCCCACACGGTGCCTGCCGCCCTCGAACGCCCTCTTCGGGGCCGACGCCTGTTACCTGCCCTCCGACGGGGGGATTCCCGGGCAGCACCTGGGTTCCAGGGTTCAGAGGTCGAAACTGGGGGGCCGTTAGGAGAAAGGCGTTGTCTTCCAAAAATTGAGGTTGGGTCATCTGGGAAAGGCAGTCCTGCTTCTCAGGCTCCGTCAGGCCGCGTGACGAGGACGACGGCCCAACTTCCTCGGAAGGTCGACACGGATCTGGTTAGGCAGCCAGTGGCCGGTCCAGCGAGCCGCACGCACTGACATCACTCTCCGTCTTCTCTCCCAGGACAGCGTCGTTGGGCTCGTGGTGCTGTTGGCGACCTTCTTAGTACCGTGTGGTTTCGCGCTGAGAAACCTGCGCGGGTTCAGAATGAGAGTAGGTGCCGGAAGATGCAGAGCAGTTATTAACATCCGACGAGTTTTAAATGAGTAACAGTGCTTAGTTGGGGTGATGACGCAACCATTGTGGGTATTCAGTTTCATATCCGTTTGTGTATGGTACCTATTTTGCACTTTTTTGGTCCAGTGCGTTACATGAAGATGAGTTTGTGTAGTCATTTAAAAACGTTAAATAAAGTTGAAACATTCATGCATGGTATGTGATCACAGATCATTTTTTCAACGTCGTGAAAGCTGAGGAGAATTTCATGATGAAAAATAGAATAACGAGGGATGCCTGCTGGGTGGCTCAGTCGGTTAAGTCTGCCTGCGGGTCAGGTCATGATCCCAGGGTCCTGGGATGGAGTCCTGCATTGGGCTCCTTGCTCAGTGGGGAGCCTGCATCTCTCTCTGCCTGCCTCTTTCTCTCTCTGACAAAATATTAAAAAAGAATAATGAGAACAGCAGTGAGAGGTCAGACTTAGTGATGGAGATCATGTCATCAAGTGTATTTTATGGGAGTGAATGCGTATATCTAGTAACATCAACATTAAAAGGTTAGATACATAGCAGTAAGGTAATACAAGTTTAGTTAAATGATTCTTCTTACTATTTTTATGTTCCATTGATACTGCCCCTTATAGTAATGAGATCCAGACTTTAGTTTTTACTGTGGAAATACAACTTTTTATTAATTTGTCTTAAATTTGCCTCTACATTCTGGGATTTAGTAAGTGTCTTTGTACCTCTCATTTATTGATTTTATTATTTTCTACAAGTTGCCTTTCAAGTTTGAAGAATTACATATACCTTTGTTTGAATTTTATTTTATTTATTTTTAAAGTAGGCTCCATGCCCATCGTGGAACCCAGCGCAGGGCTTAAACTCACGAACCTGAAATCAAGACCTGAGTTGACATCAAGAGTTAGATGCTTAACTGACTGAGCCACCCAGGGACCCCATACCTTTGTTTGAATTTAGGTCACTTTGCCAATTATGGTGACTGTGGGCAACAGACCTAAACGCTGAGCCTGTTTCCTTATCTATATAATAGGAACTTAAAATTGCTCTCTTGAAGGAATGTTGTGCAGGAATAAAACACTGAACAAAGATAAAACACTTCCCAGGATAGTACCTGAAACAGCAATCAATAGACGTTAAGAGAATATGTGTTTTACTAATATTCAGCAAGTGTCATATTTGAGTGATATGCCAGGTATTGTCTAAGGTCAGTGAACTGAAAATAGATCTCTGCCTTTGTAGGGCATGGAAGACTTGCATTTTAATTACTTCACTATTGTATTTGCACTTTGAAATTTATATCGGTGTGTTAGGTTTCTCCAGAGAAACTGAGCCAATTTTTGTGTATATATATGGAGGAAGAGAGGGGGAGATTGATTGATTGATTGATTGATTTTAAGGAATTGGCTCACAATTGTGGATGCTGGCAAGTTCAGAATCTGCAAGGTTGAGAGTCTCTGGCAAGTTAGAGACTCAGGAAAGAGTTGCAGTTTGAGTCTGAAGTCAGTCAGCTGGTGGAATTAAACTCTCAGGAGAAGTCAGTATTTTTCTTAAGGCCTTCAATTGCTTGGATATGGCTTACTAACATTATAGGGCAATCGGCTTTAGTCAGAGTCTACTGATCTAAATGTTAATCCTGTCCAAAAATTACCTTCACAGAAACATCTAGAATAGCATTTGACTGAATGGGTACTGCAGCCTACCTAAGTTGACAGAAAATTAAACATTCACAATAGGTAAAATAATTTTTCAGAGGGAAACCATGAAAAGGGTTTGATACTTTTAAAATTTAAAGGTATGAGTACAGTAGCTGATTGAAATCTTATCCATTTAAGATTCACCTTCTCAGGGCGCCTGGGTGGCTCAGTTCGTTGAGCTCCCGACTTGATTTTGGCTCTGGTCATGATCTCAGGATTGTGAGATAGGGCCATGCGTTGGGCTGTGTGCTCAATGGGGAGTTTGCTTGGGATTCTCTCTCTCCCTCTCTCTGCCCCTCTTC